GCTGCATCTCTATGAGCATATTATCACACAAGTGTCAAGAGTACTATTTTTTTCAAATATAAGACTTTAACTAAGCTCTTAGAAGAAAAAACTGTTACTCAGAATGGCTACAATGGTGGAGGACTAGATGAACCTAATTGTCAAAAAGTTCTAAGGGCATTAGATGAGATGATAACTGTAAAGCCGCTGAAATACCACGAGTGTATTAACACACTAAGAAAATTTAAAGCAGGTAAATATTATTTTAAAAATATTATTAATATACTTGAAGATATTAATAAGTTGTATCATTTTATTTGTAGTGGCTAAGAGTTGTTTTGGAATGACATTAGATTCGTCTTATGGTTAAAAAATTAAAGCTTTCATCGATTCCATGGACTACATGAACAATTATATTGAAGAAAGGTTTAACATCAGTATGTCACTCGGATGGAAATACCATATCATTAAATATCACTTGAAAGATTATTTGGAACACCATCAGATGTCTCTCAGTTGGACAAACCTTAGAAACTGTTCACAAGAACATTAATAAGACTATCAAGAGGTTTCGTGTCTCGGAAAGTAATCCTTCTCAACGATTAAAACCGAGAAGAAAAGGATTAAAACTGAGAAGAAAAGGATTAAAACTGAGAAGAAAAGGATTAAAACTGAGAAGAAAAGGATTAAAACTGAGAAGAATGGCTGAAAAATGAGAAGCTCAATGAGAGTATAAAGCTTATGGATTGGATATCAGTTGGTTAAGATTAAAAACTTGTATATATATAAACTCCTAAAATTTTCTCATGTCCTTTTAATCTCTTTTTTTTTCTTTTTTTAATTTATGGTTGAGATATAAGATATTTAGTTAAGACAACTATAATAGTATATTTTAAACTATTAAAAATATTTGTAGCTATTGTTCAAATTTAAATTCATAAAAAATATATTTTTCTTGTCATTTTAAATTTAATATCAAAATTTGATTAAAAAATTTAACAAAAATAATAGATAAATTAAGGGTTGGTGGAAGGAAACAAGGGGAAGGGTACTAAAAATATTTTTCAAATTTTATTAAACTGGATTTAATCGTTTCAATATTTTCTATAAGGTAAAGTGTTGTTAAATGATAATACAACTGTCAACATATCATTGTTATTATTTTAAAATAATATTAATTTTGCAGTGGCTTTTTGTTAATTTGATGTCATTTGCTACTTTTAAGATTAAACATTTATAAATAACAGACTTAAAGGTTGATGGGCAAGGGGAGAGAGCTGTAATACCAAAGCCCTCTACATTTTAAAAGTGAGGGGGCTGCATCCCCCTAAGCTCCGCCTGTTCTGCCGCCCCTACATTTATATATTATCACTATAATTTTAAATTTTAAGACTACTTATGCTCCATAGGGTCTATTTAAGCTAGCTGCAGCACCAAAGACAAAAAAGTTATGACGGTAAAAATTATCACTATTAAAAATTTTAAAAATCATCAAATTCTCAATTTAGGAGCGGCTCTGATTTTAATTTTTGTTTAGCATTTTATGAAAAAAAAAATCTTAGTTAACAGATGCTTTCCATCGCAGATCAATTTTAAAAAAATCTTGATCCGACTCATTTCGATGACCTCTATCTTTTGAATGCAGCTCTTCAACTGTTTTTTTTTATGTTTATCCATCACGTGTAGATCAACAGGCAATTTGACTTGTATTAATTTTTGAACAAGTTTTTAAAATTCTTTTTAAAATCACAAAAATCTTAAAACAAAAATATCAACTTTAGTTCGCTATTAGGAAAAAAGTTAAGACGCCAGAATTTAAATTATTTGCTCTTTTAAAAGTATCTATAGCATACTTGCTATCTTTAAATAATTGAAGTGTGAAACCAACTTGTTCAAAAGTTATTAGCTGTTTAAGGGATACCTCCAAGACATGTTGTGCTCATATTAAAGAGAATGATAAAAAAAAAATGTTTGGGCTAAATTTTTTTTGATTGAAACAAGAGTAAATAAATACCAAAAAAAAAACTTTATTTTAGTCGAAGCTTGCTGCCTTTGTTTTATTATAGGTTTAAAAGTCAGCGTAATATACGCTGCAATCTACAAACTTGATAATTTATTTAAGCATGTTTTATTCTTAAGAGTTTTAGTAAATGATATCATTGACTTTAGTTTCTTTACATAATCGATATCTTGTACAAACAAAAAAAATCAATGACGTCATGTACTCTTAGGAATAAAACATAACTCTTAGGAATAAAATGCATTGAATTGTTTGTAGATTGCAGCAGTTATTGGTAAAATGTGAACTGCGAAATGTGAACTGCGAACTGGTAAAATGTGAACTTTTTTGCGAATCAAAACATTATATTTTAAAAACCATTATTGTTATGATAAAAATAATAATAATAAAAAAATCTCCAGTTCTTAATTATCTATTTTAAAGCTTTATTTAAAATAAAAATTTTATTTTTTAACTGTAAAACATGCACGGAGTGTTGCTACATCGACTATTTTAATATTAGATATTGATCTAAAATTTTCAAAACATGCTTTTCTCATACATATGTACAAAATCCAAAAGTTACAATAAAATCTGGGATGTTCCATAGGAACCTCATAAAAATTTGCTCCACTTGGCATGGAATGACCCTTCTGCCTAATTGTTTAAAAACAATTGTTTCAGAGAAATGTAACATTTTAAACACTTGATTTTTAAATATTAATTTTTTAATAATATTAATTTGGAAATTTTAACTTCAATAGGACTCAATTATTTGCTGCAAGCAGCTACCACAGTACTGCCGACATTCCTATATTAATGAATGACAACCCTCTCACTGAGTCCTCTTTTTTATGTTTTCTTGGATCATTATTTACTACTGACCTTTCATGGAAACCATATATACAATTGATTGCTAAGTTAGCATCTGCTAAGGTTGCTTCTCTTTATCACGCTTACCATTTCCTTACTCCTGACTCCAATCTCTATCTATACAAATCTCTTATTTGTCCCTGTATACAACGCTGTTGTCATATTTGGGGTTGTTCCTCTAATGATGCTTCTTCTCTTCTAAACAAGGTCCAAAAACGCATTGTAAACGTAGTTGGACCGGCTTTATCTGCTAAGCTTGAGCCTCTTTCATTAAGTTGCATCTCTTTCTTTTTTGTACAAATAATATATATAATAATATAATATAAAAATTGTTGTACAAACTATTTAAGTTTGGCAAGTCAAAACTACGTAGTGTTTTGACTGTAACAGCTGTTAAATGTTAAATTTTGAAAATAGAATAAAAAGTTCCTAAATAAAATTTGGTATTTCAGTTGAATTTAATATTTTAAACATTTCTATTATATCGCCCCTTCTTATCCTTTCTTGTAAGGATGGTAAACCTAATATTTTTTTCCTTTCTTTATAGCAGATGCCTATCAATGATTCAATCCGAGTCGATCTATGCTGTACCTTTTCGAGTCTCTTAATGTCTTTAATAAAATATGGGCTCCATACAGATGCTGCATATTCAAGCTGTGGCCTAATAGTTGACTTGTTAACAGCTTCAAAATGGTAACATCAAGATATTTAAATCCATGTTTTAAAAACCCAGCGTTCTATTTGCCTTATTGGCTACACTGATATTATGATTTTCCCATTTGAGGTCATTTGATAATATTACACCTAAATCTCTTTCAACTTCTGTTTTTTGCAAAATATGATCTCCTAATTTGTAACTAAACTAAGGATTCAAATTACCAATGTGCATTGTTTTACACTTTTCTCCATTGAATTTAATTGACCACTTATTTGACCAGTCTAATAACTTATTTAAATCTTCTTGAAGAGCACTGCTGTTACTTACATTATTAATTACTGACATTATTTTTGTAACATCTGCAAATAATTCTAATTTATTTAGCATGTTAACTTTTAAGTCATTTATAAATATTATAAACAGGAATGGACTGAGGACTGAACCCTGGGGAACTCTACTTGTGACTTCCTGCCAATATGAAACAAACTCACCCAGAACTACTCGTTATTTTCTATTACTGAGAAATGATTTACACTATTGTAGGATATAAGAGTGAAAACCATAACCATAAAGCTTGCAGCATAATTTCGATAAAGAAACGGAATCAAAGGCTTTTGCAAAGTCCAAAAATATTATATCAATTTTATTACCAGCTTATATTTTACTTGTTATAAAATCTAAAGTCTCTAATAAATTGGAACTACAATTTTTACCATTAACAAATTTGTGCTATTCGCTTGCTATTAACTTATTTAAAGTTAAATGGTTCATCATAACATTGTGAATAATTTTCTCCATAACCTTGCATACTATTGATGTTATTGATATCGGTCGATAGTTTGAAGGATCTAACTTATCTCCTTTCTTGAATAGTGGAGTTATGTTTGCAGTTAACCATTCATTTGGTATAACACCACTATAAAATGACATTTTAAAGATCAGTGATAAGGGATGAGAAAGTGATTTTGAACATTCTTTAAGAACACAAGGATGAACTTTGTCAACACCAATTGATACTATCTTATTTTAGCACTTGGTTCTAGAAAGTTCTGTAATAAACTTTAAAAAATACTTTCATTATTCAAAGCATTTTTGTTTATTATATATTAAGACACAAATTTAGTAAAATCTGCATCATGTTTGTTTCATTGGATTTTGAGTAAAAATTATAATAAAATAATAAGTTATAAGAAAATGATGTCTAAATAAACATTGAAAATTTTTTAACTTTATTTTTTAATTTTATAAGCTTTAAAAGACGAAAAGTATATTGTTATTTTATGAGTAAAAAGTAGCACTAGTTGATATTAATTTATGATTTATTATAAAATAATTAAAATTAAAATTTGGTTAAATATAATTTTAAAACTAGAGTTTCGCATGAACATAATTAAGTTTTGGTTTTAGTTTTAACCTGAATGAAATAACCTTATGAATAACTAACAAACATGTCTGTAATAGTTATTATAATACATATAAAAAATATTTTACCTTGAAGTACCATATCACCACGAGAAAGAAAAACAGGCCTGACAACATCTGGCATACTTTTCATAAATGATATGGCAGAATTGTACCCAAACTCTTTATATGGTAGTGTTTTATGTTCCAAATCTGTGTACTCTGAACAAAGTTGGTTGATTGTCAAGCCTTGTTTTGCTGATAGAAGGAGAGACCTGACTATCTTTTTAACTTCTTCTAAATTTTCTTTCATTTTGTTTTCACTATAAGGCTTAGTCCTTTAATAATAAACTTTGATATTATTGCCACAATATTATTATGATCAATTAATAATTTACCTAAATGAAACAGTAGAACTATACAACAGAATGTCTAAATCTACAGCTCTAACTTTTTTTTTCTTTTAAATTTATTATTTAGGTGCCCCAAAAAGTCCTAGCGGTCTTATCATAGTTCACTTGCATTAAAAATTTTTTAAATCATATGAAAATCATTAAATGCAAACTAGTGGAGAGTTTCTTTTTCTATTTAGGGCAAAACAAAAATTAATTGATAGTCATAATAAAATAAGTTAGTCGAAACCAAGTTTATATTTAAAGTATATCAGAAAGTGTCTAATTATAATAAATTTAATAAAGAAAAAAAAACAATTCTTTGTTCTTTATTTTTAATCTTTTTCTAAAAATGTTTGCATAAAAGTTCTTTTTTACAAACAGTTTACCAAGTAATAATATCCTGTCAACATAATGTAAATAAAAATAAAACATTTTAATAAAAAAATAATAATAATAATAATGATAATAATAATAGACATAAAATACCCATAAATCAATTTATATATGAATAAAATTTAATATTAGTATACACAATACACACACACACACACACAATACACACACACACACTCACACACACACACACACACACACACACACACACACACACACATACACACATACACACACACAATAAGATTGTGTGTATTTGTTTTTCTCTCCGTATGTTGTATACAAACATATACATACATATTAATAATACACAGAAAAATGTATGTATTTATTTCTTACATTTGAATTTACTTTTTTATATTTTTATATGTTTTTATTTCGTACATATTTAAATTAGTATATAAATGTACATTATTAATATATTTATGTACTAATGTAAAAATGCAAATATTTTTTTAAGTCATAAATATTATTATAATGTTGTTGATGTATTTGTATTTTAAGTCATAAATATTATTATAGTGTTGTTATTGTATTTGAGTTATTTATATTTAGAAAAATCAATTGTGGCTTTAATTTTAAAAAAATTACATAAACGCACGTGGCATTTATAAAAACACGAAGAATAGCGTTGAAATAAATGTTTTCAAGATTTTTTTTTATTGACCTAAATTTTGTTTTATTGACCTAAATATAATATTTTTATGAGAAAAAAATTTTTTCGTAATATTATACCATTTCTTATTAAAAACATGTAATATTCAATTATGTCAACATTAGCAATTGATTTTTGAAACAGATTTATAAAATAGATTTATTAAACAGATTTCAATAAATTAGCGCTAAATTAATTGGGAGCTAAAAAGCGCGAAACAAATAATTTTAATTATGTAGTTCTAAATAAAAGTTAAATTATTAATTAAATAATTAAATAAATTAAGGAGCTTCCACTATTGTTACTCTCTTCGCCCACCTTCCCCCCCCCCCACCCACCCCGCTTCTCTCCCCTCCCTCTCTTTGTCAATAACATTAACTTTCTTCCCCCTCCCCTCCCCCAAAAAAAAATGTAAAAAAGAATAAACCCTTTGTTTTTTACGTTACATAAGTAATTAAATTTTTTTAAAAAAGTAACATTGTTTTTTAGACCTCCTCCTTCCTCCCCTTGTCAAATAAAAATCAAAAAAAGTTTCCTACCCCCTATTAAAAGCAGTGGTTAGAGTTCTGGCTCTGAAAAATTCCAATTGAAAAAATCCAACATAGGCCAAAAACGGCTCCAGCCAATAAATTCTTCCGGAGTAAATTCAAAGAAATAAGTACTCTGGGAGTCTTTATTGACTAAAAAGTGTATACTTCAGGGAGAATTTATTTTCTAAGAATTAAGTACTCTTAAAAAATAAATAACGTTATTGGAATTTGAGGCAACGCTGATGCTGATTACTGGTGTGTTTTTGATTTAAATTAGTAAATTATGTGCAAAACACCATTTGATACATTGCACTGAAAAAACCTAAGTTACCAAAAAAATTTATATCAAAAACTACTTTAGATAAAAAAAAACAACAAAAAAAAACAAAAAAGTCTTTTTTTTTTTTTTTTGATTAACATCGTATAATATTATTACAATGCACGTATACATATGGAATCTCATAAAATAAAATATAAAAGTATATACATTACAACAAAATTAAGTTAAATCAGATAGGGGCTCAAAGAAGATAAGGATAACATTACGTTATCGCAATCTTTTCATAGAACCCCAAGGTACAAGTTTAAATAAAACAACGTAAGAATAAATAGTTCGTATAAAAATATAATAATAACAATGTTATCATTAAAAAGTCAAGACAAGGTTAAATTAATCGAAAAAGTAAAAAGAAAAAACTTTATCTTAAGTTCAAATTTTAAAAATTTCTTTTTTTAATTGAAACTTAAATGAATTTAAAGACTTAGGTCCTCGATAAGATATACAAAATTCTGATAGTTTATTACATTTCCGAGGCAATTTAAAGTTTTTATTTCATTTGAATTTATTTCAAACTTATCTTTGAAGTTTGCTGGCAAGAGGTTGTTATAGTATCTATGCATAAAAATTAGATGCTGATAAATATTTATTTCAAATATATCCATCATTTTCATATCTCTCATAAGAGGTTTTCATATCTCTCATAAGAAGTATTTTCATATCTCTCATAAGGGGTATCAACGAGCAGCCGTAGCGCACTTGCCTCAGAAACGTAAGATCCGTGGTTCAAACCCCACCTCTGGGCAAGTTTTGCGATATCGGTTGGGAAGGAGGCGTAAACTTTCTATTAAATGCTCTTCCGCGGTGCTCTGTGATAAGACCGTTAGGACTTCTTGGGGCACCTTAATAAAAGAAGAAAAGATTTTGCATGTTCACGTTTATGTTTACAGTATATAATACGGCAAGCGTGTTTTTGGAGCATATAAATTTTTTGAAGTTTTGAAGTTTGCGTACTTGCCCATGATATATTTGTATAATTAATAAAACAATGTATCAGTCCAAAGTATATTAATTTGAGACTTAACATATTGACGTATAGTCTAATCCTATACATTACGCCAATAGTTTTGGTAACTTTTGAATGTATGTAACTTATATGGGGAAACCAGGATAAATTTTCATCGACAAGGATTCCGAGGAATTTTATACTTGCTTGCTTTTTAATTATTGTATCATTTAAGTACAGTTCGCGCAATTTAAGAGGAATGTTTAATTCTTGTGTTTTTTTATGGAATAGAGTATAGTTGATTTTCTCAACATTAAGTGTGAGTTTGTTAGCTTTAAAGCAACTATTTACTTTATTCAATTCTATGTTCATATCTGTATAAAGATGTTTAGTATGATTATTGGTAAGAAATAAATTAGTATCGTCTGCAAACATTATTGAGTTCAGTTTTAATGATGCATTACAAGAGTCGTTAATATAGATTAAGAATAAGAGCGGACCAAGGATTGATCCTTGTGGAACTCCACAAACGACATTTAATATTCCGGATTGCACATTATGAACATATTGCTTTCTATTAGTAAGAAAACTTTTAATCCAGAAATAGGTTGTATTAATTATACCATAATGCTTAATTTTTTGTAAGAGAATGCAATGGTCGACAGTGTCGAATGCTTTAGATAGATCTATAAATACTCCTAAAGTAAATTTGTTATTGTCAAACCCATCAGTTATTTGGTTGACTATTTCAATAATTGCATGTTCAGTCGAGTGATTTTTTTGAAATCCGAATTGTTTTGGGTAGAATAAGTTATTTTTAGTGAAATATTCGAATATTCTATTATAAATTACGCGTTCAAACAATTTTGAGAATACAGAAAGTAAAGATATAGGTCTATAATTTGTAATGTTCGAATAATCGTTACCTTTGTAAATTGGGATTACTTTAGGTATTTTAAGAGCATCAGGGAAAACACCAAACTTTAATGAGAGTTTTAGTATATGAAATACATCCTACTAATATATTTTTACATTTATTGTTAATAATTTCGATGAAAAGACATAGTTGGTATTTGAGAGACTATGTAAACTTTTTATTTTATAAGTAAATTTATCGGAGGCATAGACCCCTAATCCTCCACCTTTTTTTCCGATGGCTCTTGGTTGACTAATTAAATTATAAGATAGCAGTTTATAGTTCGTGTTTAACTCAATATAACTTTCTGTATCATGCCAAGAATAGTGAGTGAAAGAAGAGTAGTCCGTAAGAGCTATGATATCAAACGCATAATTTACAATCCTTAAAAATTCTTTCAATTTTTCAATATTTTGCTGCATGCTTCTAATGTTTAAGTGCAATACAGAAAATGAACTATGATCTTTTGTTACTTTGAAGTCAAAAGGATTAAAATATGGTGTGTTAATTAAATTCATTTGAATTTCTTGAAAAATATTCAAGTTATTATTTGATAGGTTATCATTAATATCCTCCAGAAATAGGTCAAAGTTTAAGTTTTCAAAACCTTTGTTGATTAAAGTGCTCATTCCCATTTTTGAAAATAAACAAATGATTATAAAAAAAAAAAAAATTTCGATATATTAACTCTAAATACAAATATAAAGTTAAATATAAAATATAAAGTAAATATATAAGTCCTCTTAAATAAATCTAAGGAAAGCATGGGTACCTCGACCACCCGTCACAAACAGGGAAAAACAGGGGAAAAAATTCAAAAAGTACTTAAATACTTTAACGGCTGTTTTAATTGCCTCGTCGTAAATGGTATGTGATTAGTTTTTTTGTACAAAATGTATACAAATTTTCCGGATTGGCGTGCAACTTTCATCTGCTTTTGTAGTTTTTTTAGAAATTGGTTTGTTTGTTGGCAGTAATCTTCATTGATAAGTATATTCTTACATTTTAGATTGGCAGATTTTTTTATGATACCTTATCTTTATAATCTATAAGTTTCAAGACTATTGTTCTTGGTTTCATGTTATTTCTAAATACGGTTCGATGCGCTCTTTCAAATCTTTATACTTTTCAAACCTAAACTTCCTTCAAATAGTTTTTTAAATTTTATTTTGCTGTCAATTTAATTTTCATTTTTATTTTCTTTTATTCCATCCACCTTTAGATTGTTGCGGGACCTATATTCAATTTCT